TTGACGCGATACGCATAAGTGCTTAACACGGAGGAAGACACGCTGCGTAAGGAAAAAAGAGAGAGAGAAAATATGTAACCGTACGGTTCGAATAATTGTACTCTAACGCCGATGAGAAACGCCAAGGAGAGTGCTATTTAATACTGAGAGAGAAGCGATCTCCTCACAATAAGAATTCATTTTGCACTTGTGTACTTGTGTTAAAATCGGTCCTTGTTAAATTTTTAACATACTCGTGTGTTAATTTAATATATTGTGTTTATACACGGAAAAAATTTGTCTTAAATCAAGAATAGATATTCTTGCATTATGTCTTGTTAGAGGATTTTTAGTCTTAATTTAATTGAATTTGTATTGACGCAAGTATTGTACTTAATTCAAAACTAAACATTTTCTAAAAATATTATAATATTCTCGTTTACGTATGAGAATATCTATTCTTGATTTAAGACTATTTTTTTCTGTGTGTTATCTCAATATATATATTAAACATTTTTTCTTCTTCAAAATTTTTGACTGTCCAATTATTACGTTCTTGGAGGAATTGTCCTAAGATGATAATAAACGCATTTATCTACTTACTTATCTCTCTCTCTCTCTCTCTCGTTTTTTCTCGGAGTATTGCGCGTCCAGAAAACGCTCTCTCTCCCATGGACGGATATCGATAAAACGCATCGATCGCAAAACCGTGAACGAGAATCGAATCAATTTAAGAGCGCAACGTTATTACACGGCGCGTCGCCGCGCGGCTCTGCGCTCTCCCGCCCGACAGCGAAACACACGGCCGCGAGCGGATATAAAAGATCTGAATTAAGTCTGGATAATGCAAAGATCCGCTTCCTTCTCGTGATAGAGTTGTAAAGGAATACGGGAGAGATCCAGAGCGTCTTACGATATTAGCGAAGCCCGGGGGGAACGCGGAGGAGGGTGAAAAGGAACATCTTTTTCGCGGAATCGTCGTCGTCGTCGTCGCTCTTCTGCGAGATCGAGGAGCTGAATTCCAAACTGCGTTACTTCCGCGTATGACACCGTTGCGCACGTGTTTTCGAATTCAGCCGTTTCCCGGATTCGCGTCTTACACGCTACAGTGCGCGAGTTGGATCCTCCTCCTCCTTCTCGCGGCACAAAGGTGCGACGGCAGCGGCGCGAAGTCTTCTCACGTGCCCGGACTAGAAAACGCCGTTCGATTGCGATTTTTCTCCGAGTCGCGCGACGCGAGTGGTGCGCTATACATAAAAGTGCGGAAAAAATAATCTCAGAATTTCTGGATATGCCTTATGATACAAATTGTTTATGTTTCTTCTGGAAATTTCAAGTTCACGGAGAGTAATGTTAAAACATCTAATGTAGAAGTGAAATAAGAATACCTAATTCTATTAAACTATGCTTATAATTGTCACAATCGCGTTACAAAGAAATATTTTATAATTTATTATTTAATAATAATTATTAATATTATATATATATATATTTCTCTCTTCCAGGGAATTCGTGAATTCAGGTCACCGATTCGCGATCGCCGGCGGACGGAAAAGCGCACGGGTCGCCCGACGATGCTTCCGCGCGTCGCCGAGGACAACGGCTCCTAGAGGCAGGCTCGCACGTCTGTCTGTGCCCGCGACCTTGTAATTTCGCGACGAAAGTAGCGGCGCTTTCTTGAGGTCGGATCGATAATCGCCGACGGGCGAGAGAGCGTATCGCGGAGGCGCGACCCGAAGGGGGAAAGGGAGCGCCGTGTGATTTACACGAAGGGTGGGCTCTCGCCTCGCCTTTAGCACCGTAAACCGTGATATGTGGACCCTTTGTTCTTAACGCGAGCAAAAACACTACGTCCGTATTCTCTGCCCGCCCGCTTCGGAGAGGATGGAGAATCAACCCGTTCCCCCTCCTCCTCCGCCGCCGCCGCGAAATTCTTCGCCGAATAATTGTGTATATCCCCGTCTGGGGAAGCCGGCCGTAAATTTCAGCCGGCTGTAAATTTAATCAACGCGCCCGCAGACGTGTGACGTGCGCGCACTCCTCGAACGCGCTCCTTTCTCGGCCGAGAAATTCTTCCACCGGGCGACTCTACGCGTAATAATAATCCGACGGTGCCGCGACGTATTCTGACCTCGCGTAAGAGAGAAGACTGAAAGAGGGAGGCCGAAGAACGGCCGTCTCGACGGCGGAGCTACTTCACAAATCTGTAAAGAGTTAAAAGTAACGAACCGGCGAAGCTATAAAGTACGAACTCGTGTTTCACCGGAATCGCCGGGGTACGCCATGATCCATTTTTATGGGATTCTCCCCCACCGGCGGGGAAAATGCGCGCGTGCGCACCGTGGCCGGAAATTGGAACGTTGCGGGATAAATCACAAGTTACGCCACAAATAATTTGCCTGCTCCACGCTGCATATTCCCTGTCCCATATTCCCGCGGAAAGTAAGATCGACCCGCGGGCGCTTCGCCTGTCGATTCTTGCCGGAAGTTCCCGGCAACTTTGACGTTTATCATTATTACTTGAACCGGCTAACTCCGGACGTTCAATTTTCATGCAAACTGCCCGAAGTACGGCGTGGCGGCTTCAAACGACCGCTGTTTATTAAATAAACAACGGATACGCGCGCGCGTGCAAGCGAACGGGCACGCACGCCGCGCTTATGTAAATGTTACAATATTGTCTGGGCTTAATTAAAATTTAAAAGGACGCAATTCGACACCGAATCGATTTTGCGGATATAAGCCGGAGATATATTCTTTCACCTCTCGATGCATACGAATTTCGCGGTTGCGTCGATGATTTTATGTCATTTATATAACGACTGAATAATAGATTTTTTAATCACCGGGCGAGCGCGCGAAATACCGCCGGGGCGCACATCGTCGAAGCTGAGGACGAGACGCGTAAGATGAATGTCCCGGTTAATGACAAAGCAATCTCATCGTGAAAATAAATGAATAAATTACTATAACACATTGAGGAAACAAGTTTTCTTAAATTCGGCAAATGTATTTACTAAAACGCAATTTGGTAAATAATATTTTAAGTATAAATCTTCATTGCTGAATATAAATCTCTTTTATTTGATTACAGTAAATCAAAGTATAAAAAATTGGAATATAAATTTCTTTTTACAGTTTACTTCAATCTAATCTTAGCGCATTATATTCCAGTTAATATTTATTGAAATTTAGTAAATGAATATATTAAATTCTAAATCTGGAGATTTTCATTTTAAAAAAGACGTTTTAGTAAATTGAAAAGAGTCCAGGAAAAATTGTTGACAACGTCTAGAAGCAACATAATAAAAAAGACGTAATAAATATAGAAACTAATTAAAAAAAAAAAATGAAAAATTTGTTATGTAGCGGCAAATATGTTTTACATTTTAATAAATATTGTGATTATATTATAGAAAATATTTGTTTACATTTAATAAATAATTTAATTTAATAGAACAATTTTTTTTAGATAAATAAATTACTTATTAAAAAA